CATCTTGGCACGTCCGGGGTCTCCATCTAAGCTTCAGCCTCACAGTCTTTATTTCCAGAACTTCAGGAGGTAAGAGGCTTCCAGGACTAGCCTGTGGAGCAAGGGGAAGTGGAAGGGGAGAGGGGGGATGAGGAAGAGTAAGAAGAGAGGGAGAAGGAAGGAGAGAAGGCCCGGGAGGAGGGAAGGAGGGGGTTCACGGAGACCCCATTTAGCAGTGGGCCCGGGAGAAGCTGGATTCTTATTCCTGTCGTTTGTTATGTACCTTGAGAACCGGAATCCAACGCATAGTATTTTATTTTTCTGGGAAAAATAAATATGCCAAGCAAGAAAACCTTGCAGTTTCCATTTCCTTTGTACTCATGTTTGGGAAGCTATTTCAAGGTCACTCTTGGAAGAGTGCTACTTCTTAAGAGAATAATAATAATAATATATGGGGAGAGTGGGGAAAAGGTGTTATTTTTCAAGGGTGCCTCTTCAAAGGCAGCACTGAGGGATTCTGGCATCCGGAACCTGGAGTGAGCCTCTAGAGGGTCCTTTGTTCATGGATATTCCGTTTCTTTCCCCACCCCCACGCCCACCCCTTCCTCTCTCATTATCAAACATTTGAAGACTGAATAATTCCATTTGTCGATGTCTTTGGCCTGAGCCTCTGAAAATGCAAAAGGCCCCGCCAAAATCAAACCCCCTGGTTTTCAAGGTGGATTTATCACCCTTTAAAGGAAGATTTATTGGGCAATCATTTTCAAAAAAAGTGCTCATCGCACGGGGATCTGGAATAAAGAATGTCCTCTCGCTTGGGCTGGCAAAAGAGACTGCTGGGCATGTGGGGGGCAGAGAAAAGGGAGCCCCAGTTGTGGCTGTGAGTTGTCTCACACGTTCCGTCACTCACAATCTGAGGTGGGAGCAACCAGAGAAAGGCCCGCTTCTAGAGCTGATGTCAGTCCGGGGTCTTGCTCCAGATCCTTGGGCCTATGTCTTTATTTCTCATTTTAATTGGTTTTGCAGGGTTCAATGTGGGAGCTTGGGAGGAAGAATTCCTGTTAACATTTGTTGCCTTTAAAAAGGAGAGGTGGAGGTAGGGGACAGTTATCCGACCAGAGAGCACTAGGACAGGAGTGATTTGGGGGGGAGGGCGTGACTGGAGTCAGCTGGGCTGGGCCTGCAGATGCTCCTCTAGGAGCCTGAGGTAAGTGCAGAGCAGAGGGAGGCCCCTCCTGAAGGTCTTTGCCCCACCCCTTGGGGACCAAAGGGATCTCCCTGGGATTCAGATCTGAGTTACAGCCCAGAGAGCAACCGGGGCCTGTACATACCTCAGGAAACCATGGAGATGGGGGAGGCGGTGGACAAGACATACAGACTCAGAGAGGGAAACTGCTGGGAGAAGTCAGAAAGGCTAGAAAAAAAGAGAGATGGAGGAGCCCATGAGACAGGCTGTGGAGGCACAGAGAGGAAAAGTGAGAGAGAGAGAAAGAGAAAGGAGGAAGGAAGAAGCAGGAAGAGAGACAGAGTTTCGGGTGAGGGGCTGAAGGGAGAACTTGCCAGGCCAAGCCCAACCCTCCACCCGCATGGAGAGGGAGCCCCGCTCAGCGCTTGCAGCAGCGATTGGAGGTCTTAGGGGTTGATTCATGTCTCTACGGGAGAGAATTTGGGCAAAGAGGTGAGCAAGGGGAGCTGAGAGGAAGGGGAAAGATTTCCCACCCCCACCTCCAGCTGCAGCCGCCCCAGTTCCCAGGTGAACCCCCCTTTCTCCTGCTGGATGTGAAATCGCCATTTCACCCCGCCACACTTCTTAATTGTTGCAAAACTCATTTGTGAAATTGGTCTCCAACAGGCAAGAACGGCCACGCTCATTCCGGCAAACACCCTCCTTCCTCCCCCTCCGCCTGCCCTGCGGGAGCCCACGGAATCCCCAAGCTGCGAACACGCAGGGTCAGCGCCGCGGGCTCCGGGTTTGGGGGAGCCTGCTCGGGGTCTCCCTTGCGACTGGACCCGCCGCTCGGAGTCTGCTGTCAGAGAGGTCAGAAACCATGCCAAGGGTTAAGTGGCCCCCCCGCACAGGACGCCTGCGGTTCCAGTGTGCCCAGCAGCAGCCAATTGGTGGACCCTGAACTGAGGGGGCCGGCTGTGCTCTCGCCCCACTCGGTTTGGGAGGCTCGAGGTCTGCAAAGTCCGAGAGGAGGGACGGACTCTTCCAGCCTCCGCGGCCAGATGCGCTCCAGGCGTCTTTTGTCCCCCAGGGGGATGGACCAAAACACACACTTGCACCTTGATGGCGCTTGGAGCTATGCTTAGGCAACATGGAAGAGATTCCAAAACACAAACATAGACACAGACCCTCACTTAGAAACATTCAGACTGGATCACAGCCTACATGTAGCAGACCTACACACAAGCCCATCTTCACCTAGACGTACACAGGCCTGCTGGCCGGTCCACCCACAAAGAGGTGCCTTAAATTCTTCAAAACCAGGAGGGAAATTGGTGATGAATGAATGAATTGTGTATATGTGTGTGTATGTATATGTGTGTGTATGTGTGTGTATCATATATATATATATATATATATATATATATATATATATATATAATCTGTGTGTATATCTGCATAATGTGCATGTACTTGAAATATATAGCTGCCTCTGGTGGTCAAGGTAGGCCAGGCCATCCAGCAAGATAAGAGGTGAAGGGGACTCCAGTCTAACTCATCTTCTCCAGACACACACACTATGGCTTAAAACTTAATTTCCCAGTCTCTCCTGGGGGCAGTGGATATAGTGGGGTGGCACCGCCAATGAAGAAAGGTGCCCCAAAACCGCTAAGCTGTAACACACAGCCTGGCATGGCACCCGGGTCTGGGTGAGGCACCCTGGTGTTTCTCTTTTCAATTCTAAAGGTACTTGGCCTCCCCCTCTTCAATTCTGGGGCCACTGGAGGGAGTGGGTTTAACAGCTTTTCCATAAGCCCTCATTCCCAGGGGCCCTCCCCCCAAGAACTTGATGAACCCCTTGGGCTGGTGGAGAAGGTGGGGAGGGAATGTGTCACATGCTGAGAGGGCAAAGGTCACAGGTGAGGAAAAGGGGAGGGGAGAAGGCACAGTGGGCCAGCCTGAGGACAGCCCCCAGGCCAAGACGAGGTTGACCCCAGCATCAGGAGAGGGCAGTCAGGGGGCGGGCTGGGAAGACTGGGGGCGAGTTTGAGGGCTGGGTTGATTTTATTGTATTTTGCCTCCAGCTTTGGGTTGGAGACACTCTTTCCCGGGGGAGACAAAGGGCCTGCAGTCTTGGCGTCCTGCCCTGCTGGGAGGGCGTTTCTCCCCCAGGACTCAGAGTCCCAGGCAGGGGCATCTAGTCCTTCTGGCCCGGAGAGCCCAGAATTGCCGGACCTCTGATCAACCCACCCCCACTCTTGACCGTTTAATTTGGGGCATCGCCCCCCTCTCCAAATTCCGGGTGGAGGAGCTCAGAATTGATGAGCTCAGAGTAATACCAAGTCCTGACCCACTCCATCCCTCCCACCTCCCATCCCTTTGTACCCCCAGATCCTGGGCCCCCACTTGCTGTTGGGCCTCAGGGAACCGGACTATCTGCTGGAAAAGGGTCCTGGATGTGGCCTGATAACACGAAGAGGAGGACGGGCTTAAACCGGCTGGAGATGGGCGGGATGGGAAGGAAGAGACTAGTCCCTAACACTTGGTAGACCCTGTTTTCCAAGCACTGGACACCCCCCACCCACCCCGTCGGGTCACTCTGGGATTCTCAGAGCTGCGGGAGGCCCGGCAAGAACCGGACGCTAGGGCTCAGACATTATTTCAGAGAAAGTCATAAATCGCTCCCTTGAAGTCACCCTCAGCCATTACTCACAGGGCCCCACTAGCGAAAACGTTCGTGTGTGAGGGAGATGAGGGAGATGTGAGGTGCAGCGGACTCGGACCCCGGGAGGCCAGAGAAAAGGCCGGCATCCGGAGGCGCCACAAGCCGGAGGCAGACATTCCCTTGCAGCGGGACCGCGTAGAGGGGCCGTGGGCGACCAGGGGGCCGGGCGCTCCGCGGTTCCTGCTCATTCGTCAAAAGACGACACTTGGACAAAGTTGGCCCCCTCCCCTCCCCCCTCGCCCCCAACTCCCGGCCTCTGCTCCCTCTGTTTTAACGGGCAGTTCAAATTCTCCCCCCAAAAAACCAGGTCGAGCCGGGGACTAAAAGAGAGAAAAAAAAATATTCGTGGGCGATTTCTTTTCGTTATTGGTCCTCGGCTCCCTTCCGCCCTGGCCCCCTTCCCTCCTCATGAATAAAAGAAAAGTCCGAACCTATCAGATCGCGTCCGCCGCCTCCTCCCCCTCCTTGCTGCGGCTCGCACTCCAGCGGAGCACTTTTGCACAACTTACCCAGAGGATCACTCGCCCCCTCGCTTTGCCCGTCCCCTCCTGTCGCCTCCCCTCCAGCCCCGAAACCCGAGAGGCGCCTTCTTCCCACCCCAAGTGGTCCGAGGGGGGGGGGGGGGTGCGAGAGCTCGTGTGTGAGGGAGCAGCGAGTGTCGCCTGCGGAGAGGCGTGGAGTGGCGTGGCGTGCAGGGGGCTCGGGAGGGAGAGCGCGAGGATAAATCTATAAATAAATACGCACAAGAGCGCACTCCGCAGCCTCTCGGCTCGGAAACTTGGGCCCGGAGCGCGAGGCCGCGGCGCTCGCCAGTCCCAGGCTGGGGGCCCTGACTCGGGCCGCGTCCCCCCGGGCCCGGCTGCACCGCCCGCCCGCGACTCCCGGGTCTGCCCAGCGCATCCGCCCGCACAACTTCCAGCGGAGCGGAGCGGAGCGGGCAGAGGCGGACTTGGGGTTGGTGTGTTTGTTTGTGTGAACTTCCTTGTCGCCACCTTCCCTCCTCCCAACCTCCGCCCCCACCGCACCCCCCTCCCCAGCTTCTGGAAGAGTAGACGGCGGCCGGGGTTGGGGGGTGGGGGGTAGGCAGAGTGTGGGGAGGGGAGGGAGAAGAGGTTAAAACACGAAGAAGAAGGAAAAGAAGGAGGAAGCAAGAAAGAGATCGCAGCAGGGGTGAAGGGAGCGGACTGGAAGCGATTTTTGCCGACTCCGGATTCGTCCCCGGCGCGCGCGAGAATGGCGGCCCTTCCCGGCACGGTACCGAGGATGATGCGGCCGGCGCCCGGGCAGAACTACCCCCGCACCGGCTTCCCTCTGGAAGGTAAGAGCTCCGGGCTTGCCTCGCCTCACTCCTCCGCCGGGAACTTGGGTCCTCCGAGAGGTGGCCATCCCAGGGGGTGGTGGCGGCGCCGGCGATAGCAGCGGGTTCCCCTTCTCTTCTAGGGCCAAGTACGCGCGAGGAAGTGTGTAGGACCCACACTTTGTCGGGGTTTGCGTGGGTTTCACTGACCCAGCGGCCTCAGCTTCGTGGGTCTCGGGCTCTGGCCTTTACCCGCCGCGCTGAACTCCGCGTCGATTTCGACTCCTAGTAAATTTCAGGTCCTAGTGAATTTCAGCTCTTTCCACTGTTTTCACATACTTTTCCGCCGGATACTTTCTCGGCTCGCTGCGTTCCCCGGCTACGGGCTTTCTATTCTTGTTTTGAATTGTTCTTTTCACCCAGGATGATTTTCCAATCTCTTTTATTTCGAAATAGCAACAATGTGTGATATTTTTACATATCTAAATGAGGAAGGCTCTCCGCTTCCTCCAAAGCAGCGCTCAGAAACTCCTGCTTTTTGGTCTGGAAACAAAGTAATACGAAATAATAAATAGTAACGAATTTCACCCCACCCCACCCCACCCCCCAAAAAACCACAAAACAAACTTCTCGCTTGGGTTTGGAACTCTGAAAAATCTCTCGGGAGACAACGTCAAGACGGCGAGAGGGCACCGAAATTTCCAAAGAAGGGAAAAGTGTTCATTTTGTGATGTCTCCTCCCTAAATATCCAGCACGGGATGAAGCTAGAGGACGGGCGCTGAACGGGTTCCCGGCTCGGGAAAGGGCTGCAGGCACGCTTTCCGAGACCCTGGCCTGCGTTTTTGTTTTGTTTTCTTTTTAAACTAATGGAAGGTCTTCAACCTGTCAACTGGGAGATCCTTCGGTTCCTGGGGTTAGGTAGTGCGGGGTGTCATAGAGAAGTGGTTCGAGCTAGGTGCGACTTTTATTTGTTAATTACTCTTCTGGTGATTTGTATGAGCCCCTGGTGCGTGAGGAGCGGGAAAGAAGGCAGGGAGGGGATGGGCGGGCAGGCAGCCTGCGCTCTGGGGGTGGGGGTGGGGGGGTCCCTCCGGCAGCGAGACGGAGCGGGTCCCTGAATTAGACGGAGGCAAGGAGAGAGGCTCCGTGATCAAGTGCGCGCGAGCAGCCACGCAGGCGGGAGAGCGCGCGCGGCCGGGGATTTGCAGTAGCACTCTTCCTGTAGCGAATGCAAGTAAAACAGGCGGCCGGAGACGCGCCGCGGATTAGAACAATATTTGCCCAACATGACGGAGAATACTGAGGAGAGCCGAGTGCCGGTCGCTAAAGAGGCTCTTGAATATAGAGTTGGGGGCTCGAGAGCTCTCGAGTGCTAATGGCATATCCAGCCACGGAGACCGAGTGACTCTGATTTGGCGACGCACGATTTCTGATTAAATCCGAGGGTGGCTTCAGACACCTACTTTTACAAAGAGGTGGGGGGACCGAGAGAGCGAGGGAGGAGGCGGTAGGAACAGCTCAGCAGCCGGCAGCCTCTTCTCCCCTCCTCCCTTCCAATTATACTGTCGGCTCCCTCCACTCCGCCGCTGTGAAATCGTTCTAATCTGCCAGATCTCCGCAGCCGCCGAGTCCCCAAATTGGGGGCATCGAGGCCGGATTAGTGCACCCGGTGTCCCCCAACCTTCTGTGAGGAAATTGTGTAGACTTTGCATTAAGGCTTCCAAGGCTTTCTCCCCCTCCCCAGCACACACTGGGGTGCCTGTCTTCCTGGTTCCCAAAGTCACCCACACCCAGAGACTGTGGCCCATCTGTGCACCAGTCACTCGAGCCGGCAGGGACAGTTCATGGATTCCTGAGGCCAAGCAGGTATTTGATTTAGGAGACTGCTGACAATGGAGCATGTACCAAAATCATCCCAAAACGAAATTAGAACTTTGAAAGGGGTTGGAAGCAAGGGGAGGCCCTCAAGGGACAGCCAGGTGTCCCCAGAGGCAGTCGCCAACAGCATTATGGGACCCTTGGCTATGCCTCGGCTGTTCCGTGATGGGTAGGACGGTTCTGCTGTCCAGGCCAGGGCTGTGAATAGTAGTAATCAACCAGCCCCTTCTGGTCCCCAACAAAATGCATCAGTCTTGACCACGGTAGAGCTGGTTCCAGTCCTGGCCTCTCTAAGAGGCAGACAGACCTGCAGCCCATGCTGCATCCTGGGGGACAGAAAGCCATTGGACCCCGAGCCTCCAGCCTCCACCAGCCTCATGGCTCCTGCCTCTGTCTGTCTCCCTCTCCTTCTCGGAGGCATTCGTATCCCCCAGATGCATCCTCACTCCCCTCAGTGTGGCAGGACTGGGGACACACAGCACCTGGGGGGACTCCAGCAGCCAGTCGTGACCCCTCCCTCAATCCCTGAAGGACTCTCCCTCGGTTTCATGACAGTTTGACCTCACCTCAGAACTGCTGCAGCTCTAAATGTGGGGAACTTGGAGCTGCTGGGGGTCCTGGGGCTCACACAAAAAAAACCTGGAGTCAAGGGGTGTGCGCGGTATCTCGGTATCTCTCCCCCATCCTCACCTGTGCTTCTCTTCTTCCTCTCCCCTCCCTTCTCCAGTGTCCACCCCGCTTGGCCAAGGCCGGGTCAATCAGCTTGGTGGGGTCTTCATCAATGGGCGACCCCTGCCTAACCACATCCGCCACAAGATAGTGGAGATGGCCCACCATGGCATTCGGCCCTGTGTCATCTCCCGCCAGCTGCGTGTCTCCCATGGCTGTGTTTCCAAGATTCTCTGCCGCTACCAGGAGACTGGGTCCATCAGACCTGGGGCCATCGGCGGCAGCAAGCCCAGAGTGAGTGTCTTTGCTGCAGAGCTGGCAGTCAGCCTTTCCACGGCTGGGGGATCCTGGCTGTGGACCCTTTCACTGCTACCCTGTGTCGTCCAGTAGCTCGGGGTGACTGACTATATGCTTCCTATGGAAAGTACAGTGGGGGAGCGTCCTCACCCCAAGATACGCCCCCCATTGGTTGCCTTTTTCAGGGATGAGAATAACTGAGCTCCAGGTTGTCCAAGACTTTGAGGTCAATAAGTTATTCCAGGGGCTGCACCTACTACATCTGCCCTGATCCCCTATCACCATCCCAGACCAGGGGGAAATCTTCCCTCAGTCTTGCGTGAAATAGTGAGGAAGAAGACCCGGAGGGGCCCTAATTAGGTTTCTGTTTTCTTACCTATCACGATCCTATCCCTCTACCCATACCTGCTGCCTTCCTGGGAGCCAGGAACAGGCTTCTTGAAAGGATAAAGCCAATCTCAGAAGGAGGGTGGGGGGAGGTTGGCAACCAGAGCCACCAGCTTGGCCTGGGGCTTCTGGGAGGTTGATATTAAAAGTGTCTCCCTCCCTCCACCCCATCTTTCCACTCCTACTCTCCCACCTCCACCTCTGAAGCAGGTGGCTACTCCGGATGTGGAGAAAAAAATCGAGGAGTACAAGAGGGAAAACCCCGGCATGTTCAGCTGGGAGATCCGAGACAGGCTGCTGAAGGATGGGCACTGTGACCGCAGCACCGTGCCCTCAGGTGAGAAGGCAGCTGCGCCAGCAGAGCTGGCCCGAGTCTGGCCAGGGCTCCGGGTGTGCGGGGCTGGACGTGGGAGAGGAGGGGAGGTGATGGATGGCAGGGAACTCAGATAAAAGTTGGGAAGAAAAGGAAGCAAGAGAACAGGAGGGAATGGAAACCGAAAGGAAGATGGAAGGAGGGAAGAAGGAAAGAAAAAAAGAGGAGAAGAGAAGGAAGAAAGAAAGGGAGGAGGAAGGGATGGAGGGGGGAGGGAAGGAGGGAGGAAAGAAAGGGCAAAAAGTTTACCTATAAGGTCTGGTGATAAGAGCAGCTCACTAGGCGCTTTCTCAGAGATAATGGCCTAGAGATGGGTCTGTCCCAGGAAGGGCTCCCTGGACCGTCTTCTCCTAGTCACCATTTCTGTCCTGTTGCTGCCACCAACCACCGGTGGGTCCCAGGTGTGGAGGCCCTGAACCATGCTGCCCGTGAGAGGGAACGTGGCCTGGGGTGCGTGTGCGCGTGTGCGTGGGCACTCAAGCATGCAGGGCTGGGGCACACTGGAGTGTGGGGTGGCAGCAACAGGGGCTGGAGGGCCTGCTGTCAAGGAGGCCCTGGGGAAGTGGGTGTGGGTAGGGGTGCCTCTCGGGCACAGAACAGTGTGAGGCACAAGAATGTGCGAAGATGTGCACAGGCGTGCACAGGTGGGTGCCTCTGCCACAGCCTTGCCATCCTGTGAGTGCCCCCGGTGTGAGGCAGCCTTCTCCCCAGGGGCGGCTGGACTCCTGCCTCCGAGGAGGTGCAGATGCTTCCGTGTGGGTGTGACACACCTTGTGTTAGGGGTAAGGGGCTTAGGGACGTTCTCCCGGGGGAGGCCCTTGCCCCAATAACGTATACTTGCTCTTTTGCCTTTGAATTTCTGAGGTTTAGTGAGTTCGATTAGCCGCGTGCTCAGAATCAAGTTCGGGAAGAAAGAGGAGGACGACGAAGCGGACAAGAAGGAGGACGACGGCGAGAAGAAAGCCAAACACAGCATCGACGGCATCCTGGGCGACAAAGGTAGGGAGCCGTCCCGACACGCGCGCGACGCCGGCGGCCGCGTTTTCCCACGCCCCAGCCTGCGGGCCGTTGGTTCGCTGCCGCCGCTCAGACTGGCGGACAGAATTTCAGCGGGAGAACTCGCAGCCCTGGGGCGGGCAGGAGCCCCTCAGGGTTTGCGGAGGGTGCCCCTCGGGTGCGCCCCGGGGCCGGGCGGGGAGCGGAGCGCAGGCGCAGACGGCCGCGGCGTCCCCCCGGGAGCCCGAGCGCAGGTTGGTGCCCCGTGCGCCGCGGACGGCGCGCCTAGTCTAGCGCAGGACTGCGGGGCGCGCGCGTGTCCTCCGGGGCTGGTGTTTTGGCTGCAGGTCCCGGTGTCGATCTATTATTTATAGGAAACTTGGGCCAGGAGGCGGGGGGCGAGGAAGGAGGAGCCGACCGCGGCTCCCTAAATGAATTTGTTAACCAGACCTGCACAAGCTCTCTAAACGGTCCCTTGAAACCCCGCCTGACAGTTGACTGACCGCTGCAATCAATAAAAATTAGCGAGGGCGGCGTGGGCCGCCGCCTGACTCTCAGTGCCGCGTTGCCAGGGCCCGACCCGCGACGGTGGTGGAGGGGGAGGCAGATGGCACGGTGCGCTAATAAGGGCCCTCCTCCGGCTGAGCCACGAGTTGAGGCGAAGTTCCCAGATGCCCGGGTTGGAGGATCCCGGTGGAGGAGAGATTGGGGCTCTACACGCCCTCTCCCCACTTTCGGCGCGGCTGCCGCGCGGGCGAAAGTCTGAGCCCCGCGCTCTGTGGTTTTTCTCGCGAACAGCTGGGCCAGCGGTTTATCTTTCAAGCGCCCGCACGCCCGGGAAAGGGGATTGTGTTTTCGTTTGTTGGCGCGGGAAGTTTAAGCAGAAGGGCAAGTCTTTCCTGGGCACCCCCAGCCCTCGCAGGTCTCTGGCACTCGGTAAGTGTGCGTTAAGTAAGGACGTGGGGAGAACTAGAAATGGAAACCCAGAGTCAGGAAGACTGACTCAGGAAAAGAGGCAGGTCCCCAAAACACACGCATGGAAGCAGCCCGCAGCAGGCAAGACAGTGGACACGCGAACCTGCAAAACGGTGGCTTGGGGGAAAGTGGGGGAAACTGTAAAGAGCACATGAGGTTCGAGTTTCCTTCTAGAGGTTTCTCGAGGCCCCCCTCTCCTTGCCGCCAGTGAACTCCTAGCCCAGGTCTCTTCCAACCTTGAAGATGAACTTCACAGACAAAGCCCACTTCAAAGACAACGCCCATTGACGCCCAGCCCCCACAGGCCTGGCCCGAGCGGGAAGGATGGAGGAGGGAAGGGGCAGTCCGGTGTGAGCAGCTTGGAGCTGGGGAAGGGGCGGGCTATTGACATTCAGGGCCCCAAGTAGAGCCCAGTCCCGCCAGGGACAAAAGGGAGAGGGAAGAAAGGGATTGAGCTATGCCGGGCACCCTGCTGTGCCGGGCGAGCCGAGGGGCCTCAGGTCTGCAGCCGCAGGGGCCCTGTGCTGCCAGGCAGCCCCTGGCGTGGCTGAGGCAGCCCAGAGCCCTGGCACCCCTTGGGGGACAGGTGGGGGAACCCAGTCCTTATTTAAGTTCATATTGGAAAGGGACTTTGTTGGACTTCTTTATTTCGTAGGGCGAGGGGACATAAAACTAATCTTTCCCAGCTAAGTACTGCACAGCAGACGCTGCTTCTGAGCGGTATCCCTGGCGAAGTGGAAGGAGATTTGATTTTATTTGGAGAGACTTTAGAGGGTGTGTGTGTGTGTGTGTGTGTGTGTGTGTGTGTGTGTGTGTGACAGGGGTATATCCAATTCAGTCTGTGAGGAAGCACAATAGATTGATTTCTTTTGAGAAAGAAGGAAATAATAAAGAGGATGGAAAGATTGCGTGGTTTGGGGAATCTCTTTGACTCAAGAGAGTTCTGGGCTTCCGGTGCTGGTCCGGGCTTACAAAACCCGCTAACAGGCAACTTCGCTGGACAGAGGTTTTTCCTGCAACAGAACCAGGAAGCTCCAAGTCTCCAGGAGTGAATTGAGGAGCCTGGCAGGTCCAGGTGGGGAGGCTAAGAGTATAGGTGCTGAGTCTGTGAGAGGAGCTGCAGGGAATGAAATGAAAGTGGCAGGCCTGGTGTCCGGAGAGTCCCACGGTGTTTGAATGACAGTGATGGCATGTTAGGCATTGTGACTGTGAGTCAGATGGCCGCATAAGCACTTGGGTTTCTCAGTGGGACTGTTTGCCTTTGGACTGCATTGCGTGGGTTGTGTTCTGAGCAAGTGTGGGTGTGCAGTGTGATTGTAGATGGGTGTGAATGGATAGCGCGCCCGTGGGGTTGTCTGTCCATCTGGGGACAAATCCTATCAGCTCCCGATGTGGTACCTGGGCCGGTTTGCGGGCACCCCGGTGAACTGCCCAGACGGAACATCTCATCTCTCTCCCAGGCCCCAGACAACAGTTTCATGGCCAAGTTAAAGGTGAAAAGACCTCCCAACCTCCACCCACGTTGACCAGGTGGGGAGAAGCAAAGAAGCCCCTTGGGCAGAGCAGGGAGCCAAAACAAAGTTTTGGTCTTGACAAATGCTTTCCCCGGGGGGTTGCCCCTCTCGTGGCGGGGAGCCGCGGAAGAAGGGGTTTAAGAGCTCTTCTCTTTAAGCGCTAAAGAGAGATCCCTCCCTGAGTCCGTTTTTTCCTATCGTCCGCTTGGCATTTAATAATGTTAAGACTTATTAGAGCTGGTAATGAAAACTGGGACTGCTGAATGGGAAACTGTGTAGGAGAGGGGTGTAATAGCTTCCAGGCATGGTAAGAAACTATTTATCCGCAATCAGTCCTCACTCTCAGAGTTTGAAGCACAAACGTTAAGTTGAAGGGTTTTAAAGCAGATTAAATTGAGCTTTTATTTCTGTGCACTTTCATCTCTGAACAGCTCACTCCTGCTCCCCTTGGGCTGATATTCATGAGGCTGTTCATATTTTTTTTTTTTGCTCTTATCCTTGTTAAGACTGAGTTATTAGGATTGTTGGTTGTGAGAATTCGCAGGCTGCTGTGGATAGGAGCTCCGGGGCTCCGGCCATGCTCTGCTCACCTGGAGAGGGAAATGGACAGTTCCTTGCCCTCATCCACTTGGACTCTCTCCTCCTGACCCATTCGCGGAAGATCAGGGGAGAGACCATGGACCCAGCTGGCAAAGGGTTTGAGGAGGAACGGGAAAGAACAAGATTTTCCCAACCTGAACCCAGGGAGACGCTTGTAGGAAATTTAATAGGGATTTAAACAGAGCCAAACCATCTTTCTGTAGGAACTGAGGGAGTGAGTATGAAGAAATAAGCAATAATGATAATAATAATAATAATAATAATAATAATAATAATAATAATAATGGCAGCAGCAATAACAACAGTAATAAACAATAAGCACACCAAAGCCTCATGCATCTGACAATGCACAAACTTAGGCTGAAGCTGACCAGATCAGACATGGGGCTCCATTTGGTCTGCAGGATAGAAAGCCCATTGGGGTCACAATACAAAAGAAGGGGGGGAGTCACAAGTTTAAAAAGAAGAGTGCGCAGTTCGCTTTCAGGGGGACAGTGCCAGTGCGACAGCAATCCGAGAATTTGCTGACCTCTCCGTCTGAGGAGGGGGCCGCGGGGGTGTGTGAGAGATGCAGATTTGTGTTCCTTTGCATTTTCCCTTAATTTATTTTTAAAGCAGCAAACTTACAGGTGTGGAGTGGGGAATGACGGAGAAGATTCGGAAAGGAGGGAGAGCCCCGAGTGTCGGTTTTAGACACTTGTAAAAGGAGGTGGGAAACAATTTAATTTGGCAGCGGCGATAGCTGCTAATGCGGTTTTCGGTCGTTTGCTACACTGGAGGAAGCTGTTTTGATTGTGTGTACAAGGACCTGCCAAATTTAATTAGGCTCCGGGGGAGCGAATGAATAGGGAAAGGGGGGCTCGGCTCCCCTTAGCCCACGTTGTTTTTTTTTCGGTTTCACACCTGGAAGGAGCATTGTTTACCGGATAGGCCAGAACTGGAAAGGGAAGGGGCGGGCTGGCGGGCGGGCGGGGGGTTGGAGGGGTGGTGCAGAGGGAGAGTGGCCTTGGAAGAGGGAGCGAAGGAGGGGACCCAGATAGTCCATTTATCAAGAAACAATCTGCATTGATTTAAACCAACAAGTTCCCTCCTCTGTAAATGTGTGTTTAGAGAAAGGTAATTGACACTCCACCAAATCAAAGGATTACCCCGGGTTGGCAATCTAATCAAACAGAGTCCAGGCGGGATTTGAAGCTGTTCAGAGTGGGATCAGCTTCGCATAATGGGGGCTCGGAGGAAGATGGGAGGGNGCTAGGAGCATGCGAAGGGGAGGGGCCTGAAGGAGGAAGAGAAGGGGTCGAGGGCAAAGGGGAAGTGGGGGCCAAAGGAAGGGGTGTATGGATGGGAATGCCAAAGGGGGGTCGGCTGCACTTGGAACTTCAGCTCGGGGGAGAGGAAAAGCGTCGCCGGCCGCAGCAGCAGCAGCAGCCTCGGGAGGGTTGAGGGGAAGTTGTGTGCGCCTCAAATCGCGCTCAGAAGAGACCCCGAGAGCACGCCAGGGTGCCTTGGGGGCTCGCCTGGTCCTCTGTTGGGCAGCAGGGGGTGGGGTGTGTGTGCAAAGGACCGCGGACCTCTGCAAACTTGCTGCATAAGAATTGGTTCGATTTTCCCAAGGCTGCGGGTCATCTAATGGCTCTTTCCAAGACTTGGTCGCCTGGGCCCTGGGGGTGCGTGCGCTGAGCCCAGGTGGAGACCGAGAGAGGGATAGGCAGAGACGGAGGAGACACAGCCACAGAGGTGGGACGAGAGAGTCACAAAGGAGGAGGAGAGCGTCAGGAGAGGGGGGTGGAGAGAGACACGGAGAGAGAGAGTTCAGAGCGAGAAAGAGAACCTGCCTAGAGCGTTTGAGAAGCTGAAAAATGCAGAGGGACCAAGGGAGGCCCCGGGCAGCAGGAAGAAAGACAAAGAGACGCA